TTGGTACTTACCTGATACGCCCGTTCTCTGTGAGCTGTGAAGAGCATCCAGCCCCTCCCTTTTATTCCGTCTGGTAGGGGGTCTGTTCCGGCCAGGGTTATTACATAGGCTTAAGCATATAGGGTATACCTCGGCTTCACAAAACTGGGGACACTAAGGAGGAGTCTCGTGGAGGAGGAGGAGTTTCCTCAAGTTTAAGCCCAGCCTTCCTAGAAGAGACTGAAGCACCTTCACCATCACTGAATGCTCTTCACAGTTCACAGAGAATGGGCGTATCAGGTAAGTACCAACGCCCTTTCTCTACAAAAAACTTGTACTCACTTGCAGTAAAAAACTCACTTTCAGTAAAAATAAGATTATAGGAAGCTGATTTGGTACTGCATTCCATAGCAATTAATTTTAATTAAAGGAGTTTTTAATACTATGATCTCATGTGAATAGAAGGAAATGTCCTGATGAATCATCAATAGAAGAGAATATTTGTAGCTCAGGGTTCAACGGTGGGGTTCTTGATGATCTCTGAGCTTGGTGTTTTTCTTGCAGACATTTCATTATCAAACTGTTTGCACTGATGATGTTACCTAGCTTGGTAATGAAATGTTTCCAAGAAAACCACCAATTTCAGAGAGCACCAAGGACCTCACCATTCTGATGAATTGCAAGTGATTTTATTTATTGTGCAGACACAAAGCAATAAAGTGGGTAAACTTCTCAAGAGCTGTATTTGTAAATGCTGCTTTAGAAAACCACAATACACAAGGCGGTGATTTCATTGAAGTGGATAAAGGCAAAGTTTTCAGCCCCTTGGTTTGGGATTATCTTTCAATCCACGTATTGTTTAATTGCTCTTTTGTTTAAAAATTTTGAAAAATTTATCCCATCCATTCAATGCATTGCTGGCAAATTTGGACAGTGTTATAAAATGGGGGCTTGATACTGCACATGGGCTCTGTAGTAAGGATACTATAAGGAAAGGATATCTAACCTTGACAACTTTAAGACTTACGGATTTCAACTCCCAGAATTCCCCACCCAGCATGGCTGACTGGGGAATCTTGGGAGTTGAAGTCCACAAGTCTTAAAAGTTGCCAGAGTTGGACATCCCTGCTGTAAGGCTTCTTGTTTCTCCAGATCTGAAGTGTTTTCTTAAGGTTATCACCTAAATTTCTGAGACTGTGGTGGTACCCCTTAAAAGTTTGGTGTGTGTTTACTGGCTACTTACCTTATCCCTGCCTCCCCAGTTGCAGGGCACAGCTCCACATATAAACGTACCAGTAGATGCCTAGTTTGCTTGTAACAAAAGGTTGGCTGTGCATTTTATAGCACTTTGGTTGCTGGAGGCACCGTCCCCAAACACTTGCAGATGATAGCTGCATCTCCTACTGTACCTGTAACAATTTAATTGTATAAGTCAGCCCAGTCAAGCATTCCCAGCACATGACTGGGAGACATGAAATTCATTGTCATTATTGTCCCTGTCATTTTGGATCATTATATCCTACTGCAGAATTTTCCTCACTCCAATGCTTTTTTTTAACCTCCAGGAATCAGGGATTATGGCTGAATTGGAGGTGGGGGCAGGACTGTGATCTACATTTACCTCAGGGGAGCCACAGATTAAATTGGCTTTGCTCGCTGACTGGCTAGATTCATCCATTTGCGTGTTCCGAGTTTAAGGCAGCAAATTTATGAGATATCTGGATGAAATGTCCAGATTTTGCTTTATTTTGTTGATGTGTTTTGGCTTGGGAATCAAATGCTGATTCTTACAGAGGGAAACCTAAAGGGAAGGTGTGTTCCAGGTCCCATGCTGTCCTTAAAAATACAGGATTATTCTCAACGTTATTTGAGCATTATCCTGCAAATTCAATATGGAGAAAAGTAAAGTCCTACACTTAGGCAAGAAAAACCAAAAGTACACATATAGACTGGGTGAAACCAGGCTCAATAGCAGTAACTGTGAGAGGGATCTTGGAGTCTTAGTGGACAACCAGCTAAATATGAGCCAGCAGTGTGCAGCCGCCGCCAAAAAAGCTAATGCAATCCTAAATTGTATTAACAGAGGGATACAGTCAAGATCAAGGGAAGTACTAATTCCACTCTATAAAGCCTTAGTAAGACCACACCTAGAGTACTGCATCCAGTTTTGGTCACCACATTATAAAAAAGATGTTGAGACTCTAGAAAAAGTACAGAGAAGAGCAACCAGGATGATCAGGGGACTGGAGACTAAAACATGAAGAACGGTTACAGGAACTGGGCATGGCTAGTCTAATGAAGAGAAGGACCAGGGGAGACATGATAGCGGTCTTTCAATATTTGAGGGGCTGCCACAGAGAGGAAGGGGTCAAGCTATTTTCTAAAGCTCCTATAGGCCAGACAAGGAACAATGGATGGAAACTGAAGGAGAGATTTAACCTGGAAACAAGGAGAAACTTTCTGACAGTGAGAACAATCAACCAATGGAACAGCTTGCCCTTGGAAGTTGTGGGAGCGCCATCACTTGAGACTTTCAAGAAGAGATTGGACTGCCATTTGTCAAAAATGGTGTATGGTCTCCCGCTTGGACGGGGGGTTGGACTAGATGACTTACAAGGTCCCTTCCAACTCTGATTATCTGTATCTAAACTCCCTTGGCATTTCCCAGTGCGCCATGGGGTGGTCAGAGAAAAGATTGCATTGAAGTATGTAATTTATATGTGTGAGGTTTGGGTGAACTTAATAGCAAGCCTTTAGTTAATATGGATCTTGTTCCATGAAGTAGTGATGATGGTGTCATGGATACTGCTTTAAAGAGGAAGAGAAGGTTGCTGCAAAAAAGTGAAGCTTCCACTTCTGTGATGTTATTAAGACAGTAGTTGAACATCCCTCCCCCTCAAAAAAAATGTAAAGACAATTGTTAATTCCTCCACTATGCTTAATGAAAGAATGGGTTATTTTGGATTTTAAAGGCAATGTGACGTTTCACTTAACAACTGGGAGTGATTCGCTTAATGAATGACAAAGAGGTGGTAAAATCAGGTGCACAATGCCTCGATTAATGACGGCACCACTTAATGAGGAATTTTCAGGCCCTATTTCAGTTGTAAGTCAAGAAGGATTTGTAATCTTTGGAAATCCAATTAGGAGCCTGTTAGAAAGGAGCTTCTTCATTGTTCAGGATCTTGGAACAAAGACTTTATAAAGAATAACCAACCTATAAAATATTAGGTGCCTGTTGAACCTTTGGCCCAGGAGGATTGACTTTGGTGTACTTTTATAAGAAGCACCTTCCTCCCATAAACTTAGGACCTCAGGACCATTTTATTTCTTCTTTATACGCAGGAGGCATCATTTGAGTGTGTCTATTCATTGGCCATTATACAGAATAACAGAGTTGGGAAGGACTTCAGAGGTCTTCTAGTCCAACCCCCTTGCATAATCAAACTTTAATGTTTGAGTTTTGTATTTACTGGATGAAAAGATGAGTGGTGTTTTCCTACACTTGCCCACAATGTGGAAGAATTTGCCTTATAATTACTGAGAAGAATAGAAGTCCCTGCAGGTTGTTTTTATTTAGTGACCATAATTGGGATTGACAACTCGGTCTGTAAGCAAAGCAGTCACTAAGGGAACCGCAACTGTGCTTAGGATCTTACCTCGGCTTTCCTTTGCTGTACAGATCTGCAAAGGTTGTTGAACGTGAGGATTGGTTGGGAAGTTACTTTTTCATTACTGTCATCATTGTGAACAGTCATTGAAAGAGGCAGTCACTAAACGAGGGTTATCTGTACGAAAAACAAGCAGTGATGGAGGTGCAAATAACTGGAGACATGAAGTGAACGTCTTTTAAAAGTAGCTGGAACATCAGCTGTCATGGAAAGGGCTGCTTGCTTGGTGATATTCATGCATGTATGCTTACGCATGCCTTCAAGTCAATGTTGTCGGAGACCCTGAAGTTTTCATAGCAAAATTTCAGAAGTGGTTTGGCCCAAGGACACACCCGCTTCCTGCATCAGGTGGGACTAAAACTCATTGTTTCCCGGTTTCTAGTCTGATACCTTACCCATTATACCAAACGGTCTCTTCTGGTTAATTTAACCTTGTTTGAAGCCTCTGAACCCAATTTCTGTAGTTTTTCTTCTTTCCCAGAATAACTGGGCTCTTCTTTTAACCATCCCACTTTTATTTATTTTGGGAAGGGTGAGAATTCCTGCTCCTTTTGAAATGAAGGAAGACTGTACATATACACTTGTGTGTTTTTGTACGTAAGAGTGTTTTTTGTGTGAGATAGAGAACGGTAGTTCACATATGTACAGTACATGGGAGATGAGTTAATTTTTTAAAAATAGAGTTTAATTAGTATTATTAGAGTAGAATAATTAATATTTATTAAATTAGTATGAGTGATTATTAGAACATTTTTACTCTGTTCCTTTTTGAGATAAGTGGAGTATATGCACACAGAGTTACAAGTATGCCATGCTTGCACATTTTTGGTAGGAATAGGGAAATCTCCCAGTCTGGTTTCAGCTGAAGTTGGTAATCCTAGTTTGACGAGCTAGAAAGAGTACAGCAAGATTATTTGGTGTGTGCGTCTCTGTGTGTGTGTGTGTGTGTGTGTGTTCAAACTGTAGTCAGAATTCCTGATGAGTAAATAGGGTATATTGCTAATACCATCAGACAGCAAGCATAAATTAATGTCAGACAAATGTCAATAACAATCTTCGTACATGTGCTTTTCGTTCTCATTGCCCTGGAGTACCCTGGGGTGTTTAAGTATGAGAAGCTGGTGGCCCTATATAATATTTGCTGTGGGAAATGACAATGCAGCGTTTAGGGTGCTCGTGACAGATGAAAGTAAAAGCAGGAAGCAGCTCTTGGTTTTGGCTCTTAGGTCTGCTGTAATTAGCTGTATTCAACTCAGATAAAAAAAAATTGTACAGTATTGCACAAAGTGCTTCTAGTCTCTATTATCTAAATTTATTCATTGTTTTGGCATCTTTGTGGTGTATGATTTCCTTGAAAGTGCATATTTTATAAGTAAAATACTACAACCATTCTGCTGTGTATTTTGTAATGTGCTAGCTTTTTCTCTCTACAATGAATAAAACTTTCTCATTATTTATTTAAAAATTACCACATATCTCTGGTGAGTGATAAAGTCACCTTGTAATTCTGTAAAGTAATTCTGCATCCTCCATATGCCTCTGACATATGGTCTCCTGTCTATTTTAATACCTGGGATCATAATCCAAGTTGGTTTAGACAAGATCATGTAAAGTAGAATTTTCTTGATGTCCTATAAAACAGAGAGTAGTTTATAAAACTGTTGACTGGTTCTATTTATTTTTTTTAAGTCTTCTGGTCAATTTGAACTGAAAAAAAATACAACCCCCTGTTAGAATCTGTTTGTTTATGTTTATCTCACTTTATTTTTTAACACTCTATATCTCATCTTTCATCCAGTAGTTCAAAACAGTGAACCAAATATAGATATGTGAGAAAAATCATTTGGTCTTTGCTAATTCAAAGTTATACAAACTGTGTCGGTAGGAATGTTTGTAATCTTCAGTTGGAACAGATGCATTATAGAGCAATAATTTTTGAATCAGTGTAGCTCAGATGGGCTAACTTATAGAAGGCGTCCAAAATCCGGGACCCAGAGCCACATAGGATTGAAATTTGGTTTCAATGCTACTTCACCTCCATGCTGCTGTGGTCAGCCTCAGTCACATGATCATCATGTCCAATGATCCCTGCCACCTTCCTACAAAGAAAGCCAATGGTAAGTCCTGCCTACTCCCACTGATTTTTTGCCCACCTTGGTCATTCTGTTTGTCTACCTAAGTGAGGAAATATCCCTAAAATGATGACCCAACAGGTCCTGGGTTCTCTAGCATTTTTATAAAACGTTACAAGGCTTGACACCAAACTTATAGTACCATGATGGCAAACCTATGGCATGGGCACAGGAAGTGGCATGCAGAGCCACTTCTGCTGGCACACAAGAGGTTGCCCGGAAGAGCCCCATTGCGCATGCTGCCACCCGACAGCTGATTGTTGGGTATCTGGCATGCATGCGCGGGAGATGCGTGCACATGCGTAGAGATGCATGGCGTGCAGGGGGATTGTGTGCGCATGCACAGAGATGCGCAGTGCGGGGGGGGTCACGCGTGCATGTGCAGAGGGTATGGGGGGGCCAGCACACTTTGCCTTCTGGGTGCTGGCATGCGAGCGCGTGTGCGCACACAATTTATGGCGCGGGAGCTGAAAAAGGTTAGTCACCACTGTTATAATATTTCCGGGATTGTCTCATGAGACCAAACCTGCCCCATCTGTGCATTCAACCCAATTGCTGATGGTCTCCTCCCCCTATAAGGATAAAAAGATGATACCCCAGAGTTGTATCTTGTGGGTGACAGCTCCCACGCTGTAGAATACCTTGTTCCCCTGAGATGGTAGAAGTCCCCATTCTGCTTGTATTCCACAAGATTGTGGGGGAGTCATTTGATTCCAGTGAACTTTGGACAGGTAGATTGAATCAGGACCCCCATGTGTAATGGGTAACTTTTTTAAAATTGTAATTTAGGTTAGTATGAGTGTGCAT